TCATTATATCCACATTCTCATACTTAATTCACCCCACATCAACACCGAACAGGTTGGCCTGGAGCCCACGTAGGCGCGTTTATCTACTTCAACCTGATGTTGTTCCTGGTGATCAACATCTCCTGCGCCATTTGCCAGATGATTGCTGCTGTGGTGGGTACCGTAGCTATGGCTGTGTGTGTGTACATGATCGTAGTTGCCTACCAACTAATGTTCGGAGGGTTCATCGTCAACTCAACGGCGCTTCCCCCCTGGGCCAGATGGATCCTGGAGACCAGCTTCTACTTCCACGCCACACAAGGTAGGGGTGGGTGTACCAAGCCAAAGGGAGTGCAGATACATTTGTGTGAGAATAAAGGGGAATTCAGGTGTCTTTGTCTACAGAGGAGGTATACACGCGCATGTGGCTCCGTGTTTATATGTAAGTGAGTGATTGTGCATGCGATATTGTGGGTCTCAGCTGTCGTTGACGGACCTTTCATGGCATGTCTGAGCCGCTCTGGGTATAGGGAAGGGACATGCGCATCAGACGAAACCAGGCGTGCTTATTTACATACACTAACCAGCGCATACTACACGCTACATACAACCACAGGCATGTTTGTCAACGAATTCGAGAACAAGAAATACGGCAAAGCGGTCCAAGAATGGACGGGAGTGGTGCACAAATGGGACAAAATGTACTACCTGGAGATGCTGATTGTTTATTTCATCATTGTACGGGTCGCGGCCTTCGTATTGCTTAGATACGCCAACCGCGAGCGTAGGTAAAGCCCAATGGTATATTAATTATTAAAAGAATAAGATTATAAAGATGATATGAAACATGCCTATTGAGGCGCGGAGAATATGAAATGTACTTGTCGAAGCACGAATTTACGACATGAATGTGCAGACAGATGTTGTCGTATACAGGGCAGATGAATATGATTCTATAACACGGATGACGGACAGGTGTAGTCCGGTTTTAGGGTTTAGAGATTTACGGTACATAGTCCGTTTTTAAGGTTTTGGGGTTTAGGGTAGTCCGTTTTTTGGGGTTCAGTATCTTGTGCGATGTGGGCTTATACCAAGTGTTGGCTTTTCAGGTTATACCAAGTGTCGGCTTTTCAGGTCGTATTAATTTCAAATTCAGGCATACTATACCAAGTGTTGTCTTTTCAGGTCATATTAAATTTGAATTCGGGCTCATACCAAGTGTTGGATTTTCAGGTCATAGTAAATTTGAAATTGTGGGGACTTTATTTAGAGTAGTCCTTTGATCGCCAATCGCTCCCCAAACTTGAGAATGGGACCGGTCCGGAAGCAGAAAGGGGTTCATTATAATATGGGTATGACATGAATGATTAATTTCTCTAGTTCATCGCCTCCTTAGGTGCGGCCTGCTCCCTTCCAGCGGCGTCCGACTTCGATTCCTAATCAATTGGGGCAGCGGTGTGTGCATTAAAACTAGAAATATACATGTGTAACTAGTGAAATGCATCGATACGTACGCGTAAGGTGACGAACGGTACATACATATGCATGTATTATATACACACAGCCATACACACATGCATACACACACACACACTC